AATGGAAGAAGAATATGTGGAACAGGAGGTTGTTTAGCCAATGCACCTTTACATCAAAACAAAAGCTATTTTGAATTCAAAATCCAATCCACAGGTTAGTATAAAGGTACTTTACTATTAAAAGTCCTAATTGCTTTAAATATTAAGTAATTTTAAATATGTGAAAAAAGATTTAGGAGGTAATTTGCAAACTCTCTCTTAGATGACCTGAGCCTTCTCTTGTATGATCCTGGCTAAAATAGCCAATTTTGTTAAATTAGATTTAGTTTTCTCTTCTATAAAGCAGGGATTATAGGAGCTGCCTTTTCTGCCTCACAGGGTCTATGTATGAAACTGTTTTAAAGGTAGGATATGCTGGATAAATGTAAGGTACCAAGCATTATTAAGGAGTTCTGACTCATCATTTTATTTACTTGGGCATATGAGGTATATAGATTTTTGCTGTTTTATTTTAGGATAAAATTAATCTTTTGATCTTGAGTTTTTCTCTTAACTATCTTTGTGTGTGTGTGTGTGTGTGTGTGTGTGTGTCTGTGTGTGTGTCTGTGTGTATAGTATTGGGGATTGAACCCAGGGGCACTTTACCAATGAGCTACATTCCTAGCCTTTCTAATATTTTATCTTGAGACAGGGTCTTACTAAATGGCCCAAACTATTCTTGAACTTGCAATCTTCCTGCCTCTGCCTCCTAAGTAACTGGGATTACAGGTGTACGGTACCATGCCCATTCTCTTAACTCCTGTTAAGTTGCCCTCATTCAGTGTCTTCTGAAGCAGTCATCATATTTAAAATCCGGAGGAAGTCTAACATCTATACTTCTCCTAAAAATGTATGGCATTTCTTGAATTAAATAGTAATTCTCTCTGATTATTAGGTTAAATTGTGGCAGTATTATTTAGAGGGAAATTTGGCAGGGAGGGAATCTATGTTATACAGAAGTCTCTGGTGAAATACTGTGTGAGTAATATAGGTACAGAGTAAGAAAACTAGAGTAGTGAATCCTACTAATTCCTACTGTTACACAACTCCTTGAATAGTACAAAATGTCTTTCTATATTAGGTTATTTTGTTTTGTTTTGTTCACAGTGCTGAGGATTGAATCCAGAGCCTTGCACATGCCAGGCAAGGACTCTGTCACTCAGCCATATCCTCAGCCCTGTATTTGTTTTGTTTTGTTTGGGGTTTTTGAGACAGGGTCTTGCTCTGTAATTCAGGTTGGCTTTGAACTCACTATGTAGCCCAGGCTGGTGTCAAACTCACCACAGTCCTCCTGCCTCAGCCTCCCAAGTGCTGGGATTACAGGCGTGCACCACCATGCCCGGCAGCCCTATATTAGTTTTAATACTGATTTTCCTCAGTAAATGAAATGCAACTGAATTTGTCCTCTGTTCCATTGTAAGTTAGCTTATTGCTCCAAAATGTCCCTGGTCACGATAATCTTCTCAAATATAACATACTTGTTTCTCAAGTGATACAAATAGTTTTTTAAGCCGTAAGTCTAATAAAAGTTTCTGTGTGGGTTTTCTGTAAAAGGTACTATCCCTAATGATAGCACTAAAATAAAGCATTTGTTGAAATCTACAGCCTTGATACTGCAGTGAAAGCTTGAGGCATTTGGGCCCAGTTCTTCAGGAGTAAGGAGACTCTTTCTGCAAGTGTTTTCCTATAGAATTCATATTTTTACCTCCTGTTACTCTCGTAGTTGTCCAACTTTGGAGGATAAAATATATGCTCAAATTGTTTTGGAGGCCAAGACAGTGAATTCCAGACATGTAACTTTCTGACGATTTCACTTAACCCAGAAAAATTTATATACTGAACATGGCCTTCAGACCATGTATAGCCTATGTATAGAATTTCTTCTGAATTTGCTAAGAACTGAGAAAGAAGCACTTTGAGACAAAATCAAGAGGAGAGGTACTCACTTCAGAAGTTAGCTTAGACCAAACGTAGTTTTTGGTTTGTTTAGTTGATTGGTTATGTTTGAAATCAAATGAGTGAGCATTCTAGGCAAGTACTTTAACATGAGCTACATCCCCAGCCTAACTTACACCACAAGGTTTTTAACTCATCAACTTAAAGTGTTAAATAAAAAATCACTTTATGTATTATTAATTTTCTCCTCTCCATGATATTGTTCATGACATATTAGCTGAGCACAGTAATATCCACTTCTTAGAGGTAGGGCTTTGAAGAACTCCAGGCCACTTAAATCCAATATACAGTATAGCTTTTATTTTTTCCAGTGCTACAGATCTAACCAGGGCCCTGCTCATGCCAAGCAAGCACTCTAACCAGCTCTATAACATTTAAAAAATATATTTTATGAAAATAATAATGATAGGCAGGCATGGTGGTGCACACCTGTGATCCCAGCACTCAGGAGGATGAGGCAGGAAGATCAATGTGAATTCAAGGCCAGCCTGAACTACATAGCAAGACCCTTGTCTCAGGAAAGAAATGAAAAAAAAAGAAAAGTGGTTTTTAATAAAATGGAGTACTACTCAGCCAAAAATATGAGAAATTAGAGACATAGCTAAATGGATGCACATTGAGGCGATCCTCTTAAGTGAAATAAATAGGACACACATGAGTAAATACCAAATAGTTTCTCTAGTGTGAGAAATTGAAAGTGTAAATAAAGACTAAAAGGTATAATAGATAATGTGAAACAGGAAGAAAAGGGGCAAAGGGGAAGGGGAAGTGAGAGGGGAAGGGGAAGTGGGAGGGGTAGGGGAAAGGAAAGAAGGAAATGGAATTAATATGAGAAAATGAAAAAATGGAACCAAAGTCTTTGTAAATAGGGAGGGATGCAGGGGTTGAAGGGAGGGCAGGAGAATGGGGAAAAAATAAGAACCAAGGAAGATTATGTAAAGGTGCATATCTCCAATGATGAATGTCATTATATTGTATACCTAAAATGTACCAATAAAATTAATTTTAAAAATAACTCCTTTATATATGCATTCTTCAGATTTTGGGGGCATGTAAACTATTATATTTTCAGGAATCTGGGGTATTGGTGTTGCAACTCAGAAGGTTAACCTGAATCAGATTCCTCTTGGCCGAGACATGCATAGTCTTGTGATGAGAAATGATGGAGCCCTGTATCACAACAATGAAGAGAAAAATAGGCTACCAGCGAACAGCCTTCCACAGGAGGGAGACGTGGTGGTGAGTCTCTTGATGAAGTTCATGTCCACTGCAAATAATTAAACTTGAGCAGTTTTTGAGTAGATGCAGTTTTGCCTGGGGCTTTATAGTTTGGATTCTAAAGCCCTGGGATTAAATCTAATGAGATGATACAGTTTCCAGAGAGAGCAATTTACGTAGGTGCTCTTGTGGAGCTGCTACAGTCCAGGACATCAGGGCGAGCCCTTATTTCCTTCTACTCAGGAGAATTAGTGACAAGTGAGCTGTTGAGCAGTATTTCCTACTTCTTTCACATCAGAGAAAACTTGGCCCACAATTTTAAAAGTCTGCTGGATTCATACTAGAAAATAGATATTTTTGTGGCTGGATATCTCCGAGAGAAAATTTTTGTATTTCTTCATTTGTTATAAACATCTGTTAGAACAACATTTTACCCAAAGTGTTGGTCTTTATTAAATTTAATGTAATTGAATTTCCTCCACTTCAGAATTCTTCCAAAGAATGGACCCGAAATTCAAAGACTTGATTGTAGAAAGATTTTTTAGAGAGTACCATATTATTAAGACCTCTATTTTTATTTTCAGTGGCATACATTTAACTCTATACCAAAGCCACCAATGGAAGATATAGCACAAAGTCCCTTTTTTGTCTTTCCTGGACACTTCTTGTCATCCCATATTATCCACAAAGTCCAGGCTTTAGCTATTGATTAAGAACCGAGTTCTAGAGTCTCTTTAGCTAGGGTGCTCCTGTACACAAAACCTTGGGTTTCTGGCTCTCTGGTATCAAAATGAAGTTTTCTAGTAATAAGATGACCCAGACCAGACCAATACAGGTTTTTTATTAAAGGAATGTGCAGCGTTTTAAAATATTGAATAAAAATGTGGGAATTAAGGGGGTTTTATTTGTTTGTATGTTTTTGGTGGTACTCGGGATTAAACCCAGGGAGTGCTAAGCTACATCACCACTCTTAAAAATTTTATTTTGAGACAGGGTCTAACTTGTCCTAGGTGGCCTCAAACTTGAGATCCTCCTGCCTCAGCCTGCTGAGTAGTTGGGATTACAGGTGTATACCACCATGCCTTATGGGAATTAAATTTTTAATTATGGTCTGATCATCTCTTTTCTGCCACTTAAAAAAATGAAGAACAGTTTTCAATAGTTGTAAGTTTATTTTTTCTGAATTAACTAAAGAAAAATGGAGAAAAGGTATAAATCATTTTTAAAATCTGCTTTTCTAAGATTTCCCATAGAATTGTTGATTCTGTGTTTATAGATCATCACCAGATGTCCATAATACAGAACATCCTTATTTCTAATAGTTATTTCTTAAGAGAATCTTGGGTTTTGGGGGGTTTTTTTGTACCGGAGATCAAACTCAGTCCTTGCGCTTGCGAGGCAGGTGGTGGAACCACTGAGCTAAATCCCTGGCCCTTCTTAAAAGAGAATCTTAAAGTGTGGTTGAGGTTGTCAGCCTGTTTACACTAAAAGATGAAATTTCAACATAATAAAGAATAATCAGTAACAAATGTCTTCCTTTGTTGGTATACTGAATTTCTGTGTGTTATTTTTGCCTTCCTATCTCATTCATTGAAATGACTAATATCACAAACTGACAGATTTAAGAATGCCTTATTTATGTATTTATTTATTTATTTATTTTTAAGAGTGGTGAAGGTTTATTGAGAAATAGTTCCTGAGAGATAGGAGGGGTCCCAAAACTGTGTGGCTGAGGTCCTTTTTCAGGGGTAAAAGTCCCAAATGTGAGTACAACATGGATCAAACTATAATCAACCAATAAGATTACAAGTATAGTGTATTAGCTAATATTGATCCTATAGGGAAGCAGTCATGTAGCAAGAGTATATAGCTGATATCATAAACCTTGGCCTACCTATGACTTCTAAAACGGGAACATCTGATGCTCGCTTCGGCAGCACATATACTAAAACAGGAACATCTAGGGAAGGGATTGGTCCAGGTACTCTGGTCACCCACCCAGGTGTCTGATGCATATCTGGGCTTAATGGACTAGCTACTACTAATTACGGTTCTGCTTATCCCTTAGGGAAGTATGTAAGTTGGGCCATTGTGACTTTATTTTGAGACCTTGCCTTTTTCAGATGCACCTCTAGCCACAATTCTGATATCTGCATTGTTTACTGACTTCTGGAGAGCCCAGTTCCTTTCTGACTGTATATTAATTTTTATCTAACTTAGCCCTTATACTCTTCCTCCTTCTGAAGAAGTATCCCTAATTTTGATTAGGGGAGAATGGGTAAAGTTTCAATCTAGCTGCTTCGAGCTAAGAAAGGTCAGTGTAGGGGAGATCACAGTCAGGGACCTTCTCCAGAGAGCTAAACTAATGGGCCTTGGATAGAAGTCATGTTGCAGTTTAGCAGTTATGAACTCCCTTTACAAGGTCAATCTAGTGGATTCTGGTAAAAGGAATCTGGCACATTTGTCCATCTGCGTGATCACTTGGAATTTAGCATCCTCTAGGCAAGAATAAACAGATTTTTCCAAGAATTTAAAGCACTTAAAATCAGCATGAGCACTAAAATGGAAAGGTAGATTGGGGAAAAGAGCCATGTCCAGACACTGCTCTTAAAGGATTGGGATAGCAATTGTAACCAGCTGTTTCCTAGACCTCTCTACTGATGGAGGTTATCTATAAGTCCGATTTTTTTTTTGTCACAAGTCCCTCCAGTTTTAGCTGTAAAAAGATGGAGAGTTCAGTGGTTTTGAAGGACAGTTTTAGCTAAGGAATTTAAAGACTTGTGGAGCTTTTATAGCTACATGTTGTAGCTTTTTAGCCTCATTGAACATAACAGTGGTCAGCTACAGGTGTAGCTGGAAACTGACAGCAGGGTTAGTGATGGAAGCCCCTTTCTACATCTAGCCTTTATTGCTACCATATTACTTTTATGCATCTTTTGGTTATACTTTTTGCTGGGTGTTTTAAAACCAAGTTAAAGTAAGACTTGTGTTAATCAAAATTAACCTCTCACTATATATCGAGGTCAGTTAAATCTCCTCAGACATTACTACAGAGCCCCTATAGCTCCTCTGTCATTGTCAGGCACCAGGATGGGTCATAGTTTTGCTTGACCATGTAGCTTCCTGTGAAAACATGGGAGACTTTTCCCTCTTTGGTTACCCTCCTTTTGGAACACTGTCCATGGTTGGCTCTTGTTCTGTGGGGTTCAACAGTTTCCCTACTCGGGAGCTTGGGTTACTCAACAAAGTTGTAGGACCTTGTGGAAAAGTCCCCTCATGTCCTGTGTCCATGTTGACCTTGGAGGGCCAAGGCCAAAATACTGGCTGTCCTTTTAGCCCAGTTATCTTTCTAGTTCTCATCTCTAAACCTCAGTTGTTGAACACCCAGAAGAGATCTGTTACATCAGTGTTATAGTGAGAGGAGTAGGTTTAATTTTATGATCTTATCTAGATACTGAGCATATTGAAATATATAGTATAACCAATGAATTGTTATTTCTATACTGATCATGGTTGTCTTAGAAGTTGAATCTCTGCAGACTGCTAACATATAACAATTACAAAGTTTTACAGAGAAAACTTGAAATCAAGGGCAATGTAACATTTTACCATGGCAATCATAATGACATTATTATCTCTGAAACACATTTAAAATTTCATTTTAGTACAAAATTACTTTTTAGTCAGTTACCTTTATCTAATTATAAAATATTAAATAGCATAAAGAAATTTTTACCTAATTTGTTATCTTTTAACCATTTTCTGTTACCAAAGTGACATTGAAGTAGAATGTACTTGTTTATAGATGTACTTTACAAATTATTAATGCCTAATCTCTAGTCATTAGAGTGATATTGTCTGGACTGCACAATGTTTAGGTACCTCTAACTGTTATAACACAATTACAAACAATCACACAAGCACAAGCTTGTGTATCTGTGTTATCTTGCTGGCTGTCACATATTGGACTGGCATGCACATTTTATCACATGTAGCTGTAACACAAGTAAGAGAAAACCAGATGCTTGAGCCTAAAAAAGTTTATCATCATAAACAACTTCAGCCTGGAAGTCCCCATTATGATATGTTCTTTCAGTTTGTATCTTCGGGAATCATAAAAATATTTAATATACCATTAGGTTAGCAATAATTAGTATAATCATTTTAACAGAAAAGTTAAGGCATAAGCAACTGATAAACAAAAGATGACAATTTTTGATTACCTAAAATAAATTATAATCCAGAATCCAGTCAAAATATTTAGGAGTACCATGAAACAAAAGAAAACTCTTACACCTCCTTCCATTTATCTTGCTGGGGTCCTCCAAAATGATACAGGAGAAATATATGTCAGATGTGCCAGTTTGTGTCCCATGAAATCAAAGAATGAATTTGAAAGGACAGAGTAGGTTAAAAGGAGGAAAGGTTTATTGGAGAATAGGAATAGCTCCTGAGAGATAGGAGGGGGTCCCAAGAATGCCATTTTTAGTCTGTCAGCATTGTAAAATTAGACTTGAGTTTGCATGCTCATTCTGATAAATGGAAAACTAAAAATGTGAACTATACGCTGAATTAAGAAAAATAAAACATTATCCTATATATTAACTTTACCTTCCTACTTCAAACACATGAGAAAAAAATTTGCCAAATTGTTGACAGTGGCATTGGAAAAATAAAATAAATTATGAGACAATAATTGCAATAAATTGTGCTGCCAAAACTGGGTGGTAAAAGGTGCCTGGATTACAAACTACTTTTCTGAGCTACTAGACTTCCTGTAGTCCTATAGAATGACATACTTTCTTTTTCATGTGATTTTGTATGTGTTTTTTTTTAATGAAAAAAAAAAACTTAATTGCAGGCATCAGTTAACTTTTTCACTATTATGTTTCAACACATACTAAAAGGCTATCCATATACTATTTTTCTTTCTCAGTGTTCCTTAACTATTTAATAAATTATTATTTAATCTAATTCTGGCTTTGCTAAAATTTAAAGAGAATTCTTCCTAGCACTTACTATATTGATTTTTCTGGACCTTTGCTCTCTTACCTGGAAAGGGAGGGATTAAGACTATATGGCGGTGGCACACACCTGTGAACGCAGCACTCTGGGAGGCTGAGGCAGGGAGGATGAGTGTTCTAGCTAAGCCTGGGCGATTTTGTGAGTTAAGGGACTCCGTCTCAAAATTTCAAATGATTGAGATCCGGGCATTTAGCTCAGTGGTTCTGCTGCTTGCCTCGCAAGCGCAAGGTCCCAAGTTCAATCCCTGGTACCAAAAAAATAAAAAATTTTTTTCAAAAGATTGTAAAAAGGCTATTGATGTAGGTCAGTGCAGAAGCCCTGGGTTAAGTCCCTAGTGCTGCTAAAAAAATAAAAAACGAATCATGGGTCATAGACCTAAATGTAACAGCTAAAACTATAAAGCCTTTAGGCTGAGCATGGTGGTGCAGGCCTGTAATCCTAGCACTCTGGGAGGCTGAAGCAGGAAGATCACAAGTTTGAGCCCAGCCTGTGCAACTTAGCAACATAGCAAGACTGTCTTAGTTACTTTCTTATTGCTGGGACAAAATACCTGACACCTACAAGTTAAAGGTGAAGAGGTTTACTTTGGCTCACAGCTTGTAGAGATTTCAGTCCATAGTTGGCTGGTTCCAAGGCAGGGTGTCATGGCAGAGGAGAAGCAGTTCATGGCACAGCTGGTAGAAAGCAAAGAAAGGATCAAGAGAGGAGGAGGGATTTATATACCCTTCCAGGCCATGCCCCCAGTGACCTACCTCTTCCCACCAGGCTTTAACCCCCAGTATCACACCCAGATATAAACCCATCAGTGGAGTAATCCAGTACCACATACCCATGATCCAGTCACCTCCAAAATCCCTACCTATGAGCTCATGAGGCTTTGAGGTGACATCTAGATATAAACCATAACAAGGACCTTGTCTCAAAAAAAGTTGGGGGAGGGGCTGGTGATGTCACTCAGGTGGGAAGACCCTGGGTTTAATCCCCAGTGCCCCACACCCCAAAAGACTAGATGATCTGTGAGCTCTTTTTATACCACTAAAAAGCTTTTGATATAATTGATCCAGTTCAGAAATCCTTGAGGTGATTGGCTTCTTGGTCTCTGATGATTGAATATCTCTGGTATCTATTTTTAATTCTTTAAAGGAAAGATGTCTTGTTGGTATCCCTTATGTGAAATGCTTGGGACCAGAAGTATTTCTGATTTCAGGTTGTTTTGGATATTGGAATATTTTGCATATACTTAATGAGATATTTTAGGGGTAGGACCCAAGCATAAACATGAAATTCATTTGTTTCATTTATACCTATACACATAGCCTGAAGGTAATCTGTACAACATTTTTTAGTGTACTTGTGTTTTGAGGTCTGGTGTAGAATTTCCTACTTGTGGCATCATGTCAACATTAAAGTAAGTTTCAGAATTTGAAACATTTCAGATTTCAGATTAAGAAGAAGTGTTCTGAAGCCAACATGAATTTGTTTAAACCTCAGCTCTGCTACTTTCTAGTTGTGCAACCTTAGGTAAATTACTTAATCTTTCTGTGCTCTAGCTTCTTCATCTGTAAAATGAGGTTAATAATATCTATCTTGTGAGGATTACATGAGTAAATATAACCATCTAGAATATTGCTTGGTTTGTAATAGGGCCTGTCATGTTTTTCAGCATTTTAATAATAACAATTATGACTAATTGTGATATTTTACCATCAATGGTATATAAAGTAATATTTTTTCCATTTTTTTATTTGAAATACGTGAAGCTGTTGTTTTTCTGTTTTTTAACTTGACACTAGCTACCAGTCATATTTAATTGTAAATATTAGCTTCACTTTAGTAAAATACTTGACATATTTGAGGCCAGAGTAAAGAAATTTGGAAATGTATGATTTCTTTTTGAAAATAAGTTGCACAAAGATATTTCTTCATAACTTGAGAAAAGTGGCATGTATGCACTAAGCCCTAATAGTGAAACCTGCTTTCCCCTCTTAAGATCAAATCCTATATAGAGAGCAGTGTTTTCTTAATGAGTTTTAAAAGTCTCTCTGATCATGGTATGTAGCATTTATATCACCTTATATTCAAAATAGAATCTCTATTTTGGACTTTCAAGGTGTTACCTGATCTTTTTCCTCCATATAATCACTACTTTGTGTGTGTGTGTGTGTGTGTGTGTGTGTGTGTGTGGTACTAGGAGTTGAACACAGCGCTTTCACACTCAGCTATATCTCCAGCCCTTTCACATTTTTTATTTTGAGACAGGGTCTCACTAAGTTGCTAGGTTGGGCCAGGGATTTAGCTCAGTGGCACAATGCCTGCCTTGCTTGGCCACTACTGATATCTTAAGTTCAGTTCTAGTGGAATTATACCAAACTGTGAACCCTTAATGAAAACAACTGTAACCTTATGCTGTTTTTTGTGTTTCTATGCTTCCCAATCATTGATTTCTGGCTGTTGAGGTACTTATGGAGCATTTATATTTTTATCCTTTTTAACTTTTCTTTCCTTCATAGGGTATTACATATGACCATGTAGAATTAAATGTATATTTGAATGGAAAAAACATGCATTGTCCAGCATCAGGTATACGAGGGACAGTGTATCCAGTTGTTTATGGTAAGCTAAAATATTTCTCATATATTAGATATATGTTAACATTTGTTTGGCATTTATATTAATTTTATAATGTATATTAATTGTATAAGTCATATTTATTAATTGTAAAAGTTATTCCTAAGTCTGGACAAGTTGTTAATAAGGGCCTTTTTATATGTATTGAATATACTCAGTAGTCTATTCCATTCCCATTTTTGCAGAATTAAAGATAATACAGTGGTACCTCAGTTCATGAACTTAATTCTTTCCACGATTCTGATTGCGAACCAAATTGGATGGAAACTGAATCAAATTTCCCCATAAGATCAACATCGAACCTAACCATTGAATTTGATTTGGTTCACATTCAGTTTGGTTTGCAACCAGAATCATAGAAAGAATTAAATTTGTGAACCAAAGTACCACTATTTATTTCCCATATGTTAAAAAAATAACTTGCTAAACAGTGACTATGCTTAAGTATGCAATACCTATATTCTCTTATTCATCATATATTCTTATGTTCAGTAAAGATTTCTTTTTTGTTTTTTCCAATACTGGGGATTGAACTCAGGACTTTGCACTTGCGAGGCAGGCGCAGTGCCACTGAGCTAAATCCCTGGCATTCAGTAAAGTTTGTACTGAATTTACAAAGCTTTTTCTGCCATACATTAAGAAGGATTAAATGACCAAGAAATGTAAAGGGATAGGAATTTTATGTAGATTGAGCATTTACTACCTTTATAAAATACCTAAATGATAGCACACTTCTGAAAGAAATTATAATTTAGAGGGGTTAGGGATTTAGCTCAGTGGTTCTGCTACCTGCCTTGCAAGCGCAAGGTCCCAAGTTTGATGCCCGTTACCAAAAAAAAAAAGAAATTATAATTTAGAATAGTATTGTTTTGCTTTTGGTAGCCATAAGTGGTATCATTTCTGTATAGGTGTGTCCCTCCAACAATTAGGTTGCTTAAGAGATATTCTATACCACTTAACTACCTTAAATTTTATTATAGAAAATTTCAAACATGTACAGAAGAGAATAGTATAATGAATCCTCAGATACCCACTACCTATCTTCAAACAGTTATCATCTTGTAGGCCAATTGGGTTTCATCTATCCACAACACTTCTGTTCTTCGCCTCCCTTCTTTATATTGTTCTGAGGCAAATTCCAGACATTGTATCATTTTGTTCATATATATTTTATATTTATCTCTAAAAACGTGTATCTTTTTTTTTGGTTTTTGTTTTTCATTTTGGTTTTTTGTTTTTTATGGTACTGGAGAATGAACTCAGTGCTGCACTACCTCCCTAGCCCTTTTTTTATTTTGAGACAGCATCTTGCTAAATTGCCCTGGTTGGCTTCAAATTTGTAATTCATCTGCTGCAGCCTCATGAGTAACTGGGATAACAGGCATGTACCAAAACACCAGCTCTGTGTATCTTTTGTTTAAAAAAAAAAAAAAAAAAACAGCCACAGTGTCTTTATCACTCTGTTCTGCTGTATTTTTATGTTATCAACTTTAAATCAATAGTGTATGATTTTTCTGCTTGTAGTTTTAGTCACTTTAAAATACTTTCTTATTTAATTACTTTGGGTCTTGTATTTGGGTCATAATGAAGACTAATAATTTTTTTGTGGTAATTTACAATAAAGATAGGAGTGTTGGTAATGACAGACTGGGATGTCAGAAAAGTGTGCAATAACAAATATAAATATGTAATAATATGATAATAACCAAAGTTTGTGATTAACTTTTTAGTTAGGGTTTTCATTAATCTTTTCTCCTAAAATTACTTTAAAAATTTTTTTGGCCTTACTGGGGATTGAACCCAGGGCTTCACAATGCTAGACACTCTACCACTGAGCTATATTCCCATCCCTTTTTTAAACTTTTATTTTGAGATAAGGTTTCACTAACTTGCCCAGTCTGGCCTTGAGCTAGCAATCCTTTTGCTTCAGCCTTCTTAGCTGGAATTACAGGTATGTGCCACCACACCTGGCCCAAAAATTCTCTTTCAATTATATTACTTTTTGTGTCTTTACATGTAAAAGTGTGTTTTAAACTCAGTTTGCTTAGTGTTGTGGGTAAGACTAAAAGTAATTCCTTTGCTTACTTAAATAAATGAAAATGCACCTTAGTATATTAAATAGTTTATTCTGGGAAATGAAATAACTATCCATAATTTATGCAAAAGAGTGTACAAAATAAAATTATTCTAAAGCCCTTCTTTTATTTAGCATTACTTTTTTTTGGTACCAGGGATCAAACTCAGGACCTTGTGCTTACAAGGCAGGCACGGTGCCACTGAGCTAAATCCCTGGCCCCTAGCATTACTTTTAATGGAGCAAATTTGTTGTTGTGGTTTTTTTTTTTGGTACCGGGGATCGAACTAGGGACCTTGTGCTTGCGAGGCAGGTGGCGGAACCACTGAGCTAAATCCTTGGCCCTTAATGGAGCAAATTTATAGATAGTAAACTGTATGTGATGAATTATATTTTTCATAAATCGAATTTCATAAATCAATCCAGTTAAACCAAAAATTTTAGTAACCTGTACTAAAATAAAAATAAAACCTACCTTCCTTACCCTTTGTCCTCTATCCCATCCCTAATCCTAGAACAATCCACTCATTCATTCAGTCTGTTCTTAAACTCAACCTATAGAGAGAAAAAACTGCATAACAGTGATGAAATATTATTAAAAAGTCATGACTAAGCTGGGCATGGTGGCGCACTCCTATAATCCCAGCACTTGGGAGGCTGAGGCAGGAAGATTGTCCCGAGTTTGAGGCCTCCTGGGCTATATAGGGAGTTCAAGGCCAGCCTCAACTATGTAGTGTATTAGTCTTTGTATGAATATACACACTCATTTTTCTTGAGACAGTACTGGTAAAAACATGTAGAAGAAGCTGAATTAGGCCGGTAGGCTAGTTCACAGTAGTGTATCAATGTCAGCTTCCTGGTTTGGATGTTGTGCTATAGTCCTGTAAGATGTTACCACCATAAAGAATACATAAGACTCCCTGTAAAATGTTTGCAACTATCTATAATCTACAATTTTTTCAAAATAGATCATTATTAATACATCTTAATTGTATAAAATTGAAGACGTACAGATAGGCAAATATAAAAAAAACTCACCTGTATTTCCACCATCTAGAGATAATATTAGTACTTTTTGTACTTAAGAGACATTATCTAGTCTGATCTCAAACTCCTGGGCTCAAGAGAGCCTTTTGTCTCAAGCCTCCTGAAGCTGGGAATGCAGGTGTACACCACTGAACCCAGCTTGGGATAATTATTAATAATTTTTTGATTAATATATTTCTAGTGTTTTTGGTAAATTTTGTTCTTTGTTGCAGCTATTTTTATCTAATACATTTTGTAACCCAGACAGCAGATACAGTTATTCTTCTTGCTTATTAATGTTATGGTTTTAGAAAAAGTTTATTTTACTTTTTAAATTTTGTTGTGGTACTGAGGATAGAACCCAGTGTTCCACACATACTAAGCACGCACTCATACATAGCCTGAAAAGTTAACTTTATAATTATGTATTCATTCAAATTAAGATGTTTGCTTCTAATTTATTTTCTTTCTTTTTCTATCCTCTAGTTGATGACAGTGCAATTTTGGATTGCCAGTTCAGTGAATTTTATCATACTCCTCCACCTGGTTTTGAAAAAATACTATTTGAGCAGCAGATCTTTTGAATGTATTTGTTTTTGAACCTTCTATTTCTGCACTGTTAAACGTGTTTACCATATAGTAAAGCTTTACTTGATCTATAGATAAAAATATATTCTTAAAAAATTGCTTGTTAATGTTGTCTGGGGAACCAGTATATTCAATACACACCCAAAAATTTTGATTTAAAATACTTATGCTTTGTGATATGAAAATCAGCATTTTTGGGCAATTTACTTAATTCTTATTTAAATAAATAGAACTATAGGCTTGATTAACAGTATTACATAGTAATATATTAAAAGGGACTTTCTTATATAAAATATTCATATTGATAGTGATGTAGAGTTGGGTAGTTTTTTCTGTCATTCTGAAATTTAGGCCTCATTAATTATTTTAAGTGTGTAGTCCAGTAATTTTGTTTGTCTGTCCTCTTTTATATACAATAGAACATTTGGCAGAAATTTATGTTATTGGCAACTTCATTTTTGGCAGTCTATTTACCATGTTAATGTACCACTTTTCTTAAAACTTAAATTGCTTATTTTGTTGTGTTATATCACTGTTTTTGATTTGCTTTATGAAAGAGGATAAACAGTAATGATTAGAGCATTTTGTTGAAGACCATCATGCTGTGTAATTTCAATACCAGAGTAAGTAATGGTTGATTAGTGGTGTAGTTTACACTGGCAGTCATTTAGAACAGTGTGATGCTTTAAATTTAAATGAGACTATTCTTTCAAGAACTTTTATTTAAATCTGTGTTTTCTATAAGGAATAACAAAATAATAGCAATTAAAGAACATTCATTACTCTATTGATTGCATTCTTGTTTTGTCAATATACAGTAAATTTATTGCACAATTGATTATTTTAGAAGTTTAGGTACTATATAAGTGCATCCTCTCCATGATCTAGTTTCCAGTGAGTCATTGTCCTTTTGTTAACCCCCTACTGAACTGAACAAATCACATCTTTAGGTACATTTGCTTTTCAAATATGCACGTGCAGGATGCATATGTTTCACTCCTTTTATCCACAAGCAGCAATACAATGTGTTGTGCTAGAAAAACATGGACATTAGAATTGGAAGGAGATCTGAATTGTAGTTCTGCTGTCTAATACCATTGTCTCTCAGGTGAGCTCCTCAGTGCCTCTAAGCTCCAGGTTTCTCCACTTAAAGTGTAAACATACTGATTTATTAAGATTCTGTAACTAGTTAATAAGATAGTGTATGTAAAACACCTTGATTATCATACACACTGAATAAATGCAGTTTCCTTGTCTGTGAATCAGTGGTTTTCACACTGTGCCTCAGGCCTGCAGCATCACCTGATATCTTGTTAGCGTAATGGACACGCCAGCCCCATCCCAAACCCCTAAATCAGAAACAGCTGGGGATGGCGCCCGGGAATCTTTGTTTGAGCACCCAGACAGATCTGATACATACTAAAATTTGAATACTACTCAGGAGAGGATTCTTTGAGAAAGATTGCCTGATAAAAATTTTCTAAGAATCTAAGACAGTTTATTTTTACTCATAAGCTAGAAAAATCCTACACAATACTTATTACTTGGTAGATAAAATATGATACTATGTTTTGAAAATATAGATATCCTTGAGGAACATACCTACTCACATATAAACACCCACACATTTTACCTATAAAGATATATGGAATTGAACTAGCTATGTGTTATTTATGTATTTTTTATCTGACCTTATGTTATAGTAATTTTTATTCATAAAGAACATACTGTCTTGGCAAAGTGTATTAAAGTGACTATGTTATCTACCTCTTAGTTTTTATTTTGTTTTGTTCTAGTGCATGTTTATAATACAGAACAGTGCTGCTCATTTGAGGGAACTGATACACGCATATAACATATCTTGCTCATTTTTAATTCTTTTACTGGTTTCCCCCTTTAAACTTGACCACCACCCCTGGGGGTTAAACCCAGGTCCCCACACATACATAGTAGGCAAGAACTTTACCACTGAGCTGCATCCCAACTTAGTTATATTTTTAAAAGCCAACTTCTTTTTTTCTTTTGTGGTACTGGGTATTGAATCACATTGAGCGACATCCCCAGCCCTTTTTTATTTAAACTTTTGAGACAAGTTCTCATAAGTAACTGAACTGTATAGGCTAGGCTTGAATTTATGGTCCTTTTCAGCCTCCCAGAGTGGTGTCATAGGCGCTGCCAACCTTTTTTGGAAATCACATTCTTTTCTGCTTCTAATAATGCAGAAGAGGGGTAGTGCTAAAATTATACATAAGTTACGTCCTTGGTAACAGTTTGATGAAGTCTGGATGTGCTTTTAATTCCTCTTAGGAAAATTACATTGAGCTGCTCTTCCTTCAAAATCTATAGCCTTAGTCTAATCATGAGGCAAACATCAGACAAATTCCTTAAGGAGAACATCCTATAAAATGCTTGATGGTATGCCTCCAAACTGACCAGGTCATGAAAAACAAGGAAAGTCAGGGCCGGGGATTTACTCAGTGCTTCTGCTCCCTGCCTCGCAAGCGCAAGGACCTGATCAATCCCCGGTACCAAAAACAAGGAAAGTCAGAGAAACTGTCCCAACCCAGGCAGGGAGCTTACAGGGGATGTGAAGAGTCAGTGTAATATGGTATCTTGGATGGGATCCAGGAACAGCAAAAGCACGTTAGGTGGGAACTAAAGAAGCCTGGATAAACCATGGATTTCAGCTAATAATGCATTGATATTCATTCATTAATTATAACAAATGTAATATACTAATGCAAGATGTTAATGAGAAACTGGAAGAGGATGTAGTGGGAATCTTCATTTTTTTTCTGTAAATCCAAACTTAAAAAATAAACTATTTGGGGGCAACCCGCTTTCCGGTCCCCCTTATGTCTCTTAGGCAGAAGCTATCTTTCTCTCAATAAATTTTTCCTACTCTTAACCTCCATTGTTCCTAGAATTCATTCTTTGATTTTACAGAACACAAACTCACACAATTCGGATATCTAGCAGGTTTGGGAGTTATGTCTCTTCCCCTTATATCATTTTGGAGGTCTTCCACCGAGATTACCGGTCAGAGGTAAGAGTTTTCTTTCATAGGTTCTAACTTTGATCTTTTTGCTGCATAAATTATAACTATTTGTTTCATAGATTATGGTTTCTGTTTCATGAATTCTGGTCTTTGTTTCAGCTTTTTGTCTCAAAAGTGTCTTAATTTTTAGTTGTGTGACTTAAATGTTTGCAAATTTCTTGTTTTTCTTATGCATTGTCTTTTGTTAAAATTACATTTTATTCTTGTTTTGTATGTGTTGCATTTGGACTTAGTTGCTTAAAATGTTGTGAAATGGGTCTCTTATGAAATAGTCTCAGATAAAGACACTTCAGGCTTTTATCTTTCCCTTATAGAATGCCAAATAGTGGTTATTCTGCCAGCCAGTAATTGTCTTTAGGCCAGCTGCCACACTCAAAGCAGAGGACAGGTTTCTCCAGTTGCCCTCTGGTGAATCCCCACTCCCATTGACACCAGTGGCAGGTGGAATGTTGACAGATAGGCAGTTGGGTTCCTTTCGGAGACAGATCTCTGATTGCATGGAACTAGCAGAAACTGAGGTGACAACTGAGAGGTCATGGCCAGGGCTACTCTGGCAGATACCCAAAGGTCCCTCAGAAGAAACTAGCTCCCAACAGCCCGTCTGGGTAATCAGCAGAAAATCTCCACATCTTTTCCCTCTCTGGACTCCTCAGTTAGGTGAAAGGGGAACTCTGTCAGTGATCATCAGATATCCTCTGTCTCGGAGTGATCTGAAATGATGCCATCAGAGCCCTTTCTTAAGCCTCCGTTAAGAGTTGAGCTACAGGTTTGGACTGCTTTCTCTACTACTTACTAGTAAGACCTCTAGACAAATGTAGAAAATGAATCTTTGAAAGATTAAAAGCTACCTGAACCTCCCCCCCCCCCCCGAGGCATGGTCTTCATCATTTACGTGTGTAAAATATACCTTTGCTGATAGGTTGTGGACTTCTAGAGTGTTATATGTGATTTTTGGATGTTTAACCAGCTTGAGCTTTATTTGAACTTTTTCTCTCCGCTAGTGAGTTAGAAACTCCCCTTAAACTTTTCTCCAACTTGTTGGGAGTTCATTTGAGAATTCCTTGTAGTCAGACTGCTCCTCCTTCCAGAAAGTCAGACTAAGGCAACTTGCAACAACTGTTTTGTCTTGCATTAGGGAAGATAGCAATCAGTAACTTGCATTTGTGTTTTTACATGCTAGCTAGAATATGGGACTATTTTAGCTAGCCTTTTCTCTTCATTCATGCATGTGTAGGAAGTCGATAATGCCTTTACTGTGTAGATTGTGGCTGCTAGGAGGACCTATGAGTTTCAAATACTTAGTGAATTTAAAATGGACCTTAAAGGAGTAGCCTTGTCTTGCTAATAAAAGTTGCCTAAATGACTGGATAGACAACAGAAATTTCTCAGAGCTTTCTCTGCCCTAGGGCCCAGGGCAGAATCTCTGACGTACCATCTCTGGAGTGATCTCTTTTGCAGGAAAGGTGCCCTATTTTCCTCTCTTTCAAGGCATTAAAAAGCAGTGGTTTAAATGTCTTGGTTTGCTAGCAATACTTCCTTCTCTAAACATGATTGTTATGGCTGAAGTCAACTGTAACTTGTGCTCTAAGAGTACCTACTAGAGTAAGGATATGTGTTACCTGAGGAAGATAAGATTGCACACTGATAAAGGGTAGAAAGTCCAGCCCGGTTTTATTTTCTGGTTCTCTCTCCAGACAGTAGCTACCTACCATGGAGTAGTATAATCCTTGGGGAATGCCCTAGGGGGCACAGGAATCAAGCAGAAACTTATGGGACACCATATTTGTTTCTCTTGCTTCAGTTTAGGAGCTCCATATCTGAACCTCTTACTCCTTTGGAATATATTAAAGAACAATTTAGTATTTCTTTACACCCATGCATGGTGTGCCTACCTCCTAAAGCAAAGTACACAGAAGAAAGTACTATGATGCTATCTCACAATTAGAATTATACTGTAAGAGAGAAAAAATGGTCAAATCATCTTATGTTGAGATTTTTATATTAAGTAATTCTTGCTTGTGTTCAAATGTAAATGTGGGACATAGAAAAATGAGAGACACCGCACCCTTTAGACATTCGGTACCTCTAAGCCTGAGGCTACTCCTTGCCCTAACCACCAGTTACTGAGGGTGGAGTTTCTATACCAGCCATAATTAATCTCTCTATGAGGCTATATCCATCCTTAGCTAGGTTGTTCAGGTCCCTCAAAGACAATATCCCTTCCAGGAAGTAAATGGCAAATATGGGACTACATGTTTTTTCTCTTCATGTTTTTTTCTCTCAGTGATCTAAGACAGATGAGACCTAAGAAAGTTTTCAGGTGATCCTGATATGTACATTGAGGTCTTTGAAGAACTTAACTCAGACCTATGGACTAGATTAGAAAGGTGTAATGTTGTTCTTAAATCAAACACTGATTTCTAATGAGAGACAAGTTGTATTATAAGCTCCTACTACATGTAGAAAACATTATTATCTTAATTTTGGAAGCTCAAAACACAGGCAACCAGGGAAACAATTGGGTCCTACTGGAACACAAGCAGTTCCTATACAAGACGCCCCCCTCCCCCAGCCTGCCAATCAGGAGATTAAATAGAAGACATTTTCAGGCATGTATTCTTGAAGGTCTAAGAAAGATGAGAACTAAGCCCTTCAATTATTTTAAATTGTCAACTATTTGTGAGGAAAACAATGAGGATATCCCTAGATCCTGACTTGATAAAAGGAAATACTATAGTTTTTCCGAAGTCACAGTCTTTGCAATATGTAGATGGTATGCTGTTATGTGCCCCCTCAGAAGAGCTTTCTAGCCAAGACATCTGCTCTGCTGAATTTTGTAACAGATAGGGGTTATAATGTTCCTAGATCTAAGCCACAACTTTGCAGCCTTGAGGTAAAATATGTAGGTCTTATTATATCTAAGGGAACCCATAGACTGGGGGAAGAAAGAATTAAACCAATTCTTTCCTTTCCGCAGCCCAAGACTCTAAAACAGCCAAGGACATTCCTAGAAATTACAGGCTTTTGTGGCCTTCAGATAGCAGGATATAGAGATTGGGAGACCCCTCTATTAGCTTATAGAAAAACCCAAGAGACAGACACCTGGGACCCTCATTCCCACACCGAATTCCAGAAGCACAAACAAGCACTTGTTTGCTTGTGCCAAATGACACCACAGGACACCATTTCAGTTTGTATGTTAATAAAAGGTGGAGACATGACTTTGGGAGTATTTCTACAACATCAGGGAGCTACTCAACAGCCTGTAGGGTATTTCAATCATAAATTAGATATTATAGATTCAGAGTAATTCATTAAAAGGGTAAGCCCTAAACAATATAGTTAGAACACTTTCATTCTCTTTCAAGAAGCAACAAGCAGCCATTCAGGTTCTTTGATTATTGGTTTGATTTTTCTGCTTGGTAGTGCAGTTGGAGTCAATCAGAGATATTTGTCTCTAGAGACATATTTTGCTAAGGATTGCAGATCCACTCTGGAAAAGCTCCTGATCTTAATTGTCCTTCTACACCTGAAATGGTTAAGATTTAGTTCTTGTGCCATACTTAAAGGCACTCTTCTGTTCCTTCTCCACTGCCCTGCCCCTGAGAAATAACACAGTTTGATTCAAGGCACTTTCCTCTTCTGTGGCTGGTGGATTTCAAGACAAAGCTTCCTCTCTTGCTCCCTCTTTCACTTTTTTCTTTTGCA